CCGGACGTGTGTGTAAACTATATCGTAGTTTATATGGCCTAAAACAGGCACCGCGTTGTTGGAATAAACGATTAGTCAGTTTTTTAAACAAACATTCGTTTAACCAAAGTGCAGCGGACCCGTGTTTGTTTTGGTGCGAAGTAAATAATCAATATATGTTCGTGGTAATTTATGTTGACGATGGTTTGGTAATAGGGACGAATTACACTGACCTTTGCTTATTTATTTCTAAATTAGAAAATGAGTTTCGGATTACCGTGAACGAGAATGTGGGATGCTTTTTAGGTTTGCAAATAACACGAAAAGAGGACGGTGCTATTTTTGTAAACCAGTGCGCTTATATTAAAAAGGTGTTGGAACGATTTAATATGCTAAATGCAAATCCGGTAAAGACACCCGCGGAGCTTGTGGGAACGAGCGATCTCGGTAATAAATGCGCGTTATCCATTCCATATCGAGAAGCAATTGGGGCCCTTTTATATTTATCAACAGGAAGTAGGCCAGATATTGCTTACGCGGTAAGTACAGCAGCCGAAGCTGTTGAAAATCCGTGCGAGGGGCACTGGACGGCTGTAAAGAGGATTCTGCGTTACCTGAAGGGAACTATGGAGATGGGTTTGTTATATAAAAACAAAGGAGAAGGCGATTTACTTCGGATATACAGCGACGCTGATTATGCCGGCGATGAGTCCACCAGAAGGTCGAGAACCGGGATCGTATGCATCTATGGTGACGGCGCCGTGACATGGAAAAGCCAAAAGCAACGCAGCGTCGTCCTCTCGACAACAGAAGCGGAATACGTAGCAGCCTGCGAGGCCACTAAAGAAGCAATATGGGTCAACGTACTCATCGGTGAAACCACCAAGGAAAATCATATTCCCACTTTATTTGTGGACAACGCGAGTGCCATCAAATTGTGTAAAAATCCTGAGTTTCACAAACGGTCAAAACACATTGACGTGCGTTTTCATTTCATCCGGGAAAAATACAACGAAGGTGCCATTCAAATACGGCACGTGCCTGGAAGCGATCAAGTTGCAGACGTACTAACGAAACCGTTAAGTCGCGAAAAATTTGAAAAGCATAGGTCAAATTTAGGAGTTGTTTTTCTATTCAGAGCAGCCGATTTTGAGAGGAAGTGTTGAAGAGACAAAATCGTGTACTGAGTACGGACCTGGACAAAGTTTAAACGTTCAATTGCGTTTTGCGCATGCTTTCTTTTTAATAGTAGTTCACGTTTTGATAAGAACGTTATAAGTTGTACTTAAGCAATTTGCAAATAAATCCTTTTTTCTTTTTACTTGAATTAATCTTAACAATCTGTTTTGAAATTACTTAGAATTTTGGTTTATTTTTTGGAACATTATTATTGCATTGTATTCGGTAAGTTTAGATTGTATAACTTCTTTTGTTCAATAAAATCTTAATTTCTTGTATGATTTTTGCAACATATTATAAACTTGATATCACTTTTTCTCTAAACTTCATATTTGTGACTTAAACGGTTTTTGCAGTAACCCGACGATATTAAGTATGGAGAACGGTAAGGGATTTTTTATTTTACCGTTCGAAGACAATAATTGTTTGGAGGAGGAGCGAAGCGACGACTCCATATTGTCTGAGAACGGTAACCCTTAACGTTCGACGTGCTTATAACATTTTTTGCGCGATCGAAATTAAAATTATGCAACCAATATAAATATGCACTAAGAAATTAACGAGCAGAATAAATCGAAATGATCGAAGTGGTATGGTGTACATCACTAGGTAACAAGTTTATTTGTCAAAATTGAAATTAATAATTTCATAAAAATGTGCATGTGTCTGATGTAGTTTACTAGCTTTACACTTCCTTTATGACTTTATGAGCGTCTTGCTATAGGAAACAACAGCACAAATTGTACGTTTAATGTACCTAACAATAATTAAAGATTAAATGTAATGTAAGACTGTTGATTTTTAAAAAGGCGTCGGTAAGTATTTTTGCTGTTCTGTTTTTAGATCGGTAAGTAATTTTGGCGTCGTCGTAATCATAGCAACTGGTAAATTCTACGTACTGTCATGGAAACACCCATGGTAAATAGTCAGAAATGACCGATCGCGCAAAAAAATTATTAATTAATGCAATGCAAATAGGTACAATACAAGACGTACGTTTTAGACAGGCAATATGAATTGCACAGCAGACTCATGTTGCGAATTGTCATCCTTTTCTAATAAGCTGCAGTATGTGTCAGACTGTAAGAGACAGCGTGAACAGTAAGTTAATTATTACGATATACATCGATGAGTCATACCCAAGTATAGACGGCGCAGACAAAATCAAAATTTGAACATTCTGGATGATTGCAGGAAATATTAACTGTGTCACTTTTATTTGAACTCACAAAAATAAATGTGCCTCACGTTGGGCGTGGAAAATTTAATGCTGTGTGCAGTGGCATGAATTCATTATAAGACTGAAATATCGTACACCTATAGCTAGCTCAACTTTACACAAATTTAATTATTGTAACAAAATCTTCCTATGCACTTATATTTGTTTTAACTAAAGAAAAATCTTAATCTCAGGGTCCAGCTGGGCTCTGAGACTCTGACTTAACCAAAAGTTGAAGGTTCGGGCATCCGTAGTTCAAATTAAATAGACCTATAAATTTTGACTTGAACTAGAAACAACCCGACACAAGAGAAATTTTCAGTGAACAATGAAAACAAACTTTCATCTAGCGACGAAAAGCGAGCACTTGTTTACAATGCAATTCCTATTATCTCTAAACTTCACACCTGTGCCATCGCTTATCTTATTCAATTAAATTCTACTTTGATAATATCCCCTTATTAAGTACCTGTTAAGCAATTTTAATAAATACGCAATAGAATCTTTACCCACATGTAAAACTTTACATAAGTACATACAACTATGACTAAAATTAAATAAAATTCAACAATTATGGGCAATGGTGCAATATCCAAAATGTAATCATTAAATTGTGTTTGACATTTCAGTGTGTTATTCTGTCACTTCGTGTTCCTCGTCGCGTGTTTCTCCTTCCGGGATAAAAAGTATCACACAGTTAGGAATTTTGCTCCAATATGGCGACCGGAGCCAACGACCAATCAAAAACGAGATACCATGTTGTCGCCACGATAACGTTGATAAGAGGCGCTTTCTTTCGGCTACTTCGCAATCATGATTTCAAAATCGTGATTCGTAGGATCACGTTTTACGAAAGAACGCGCGAATTTAAATCAAAATATGGTTAAGTTTACGTAGTACACATTTGCATTCGAATTACGTATTTTTTGTTTGGATTATGAAAATAATTTAAATTTAAGTAGAAGTACTTGCGCGATTATGCTCCTCTTCAGTTACAAATATGGACTAACCTAACATTTGAGCAAAAATATCCTTGCATTTATAGGTTAGGAATTCGTGATCATAAAACTTTTATGTTCAGTTTGTTCACGATTTTGGCAATCATGATTATAAGATCACACTTCGAAAGAACGTGATTTGACAATCCAAACGCGTTTGGATCACCGAAAGAAAGCGCCTAAGAAAGTCACCAAAACGTCAAGCTTGGTTCGAAGGTTTGCAGATATACACACATGACTATAATGAAATTACAGAAGGAACACACAACCTCAGTGCGCTGAAGTCCTTCTGTCCCACAAGATGGTGTGTCCGAATTAAGTCCCTTCAAGCTGTCGTCGAGGATTATGAAGTTCTTCGCTAATTTTTCTACAAGAGCTGAGTGACAAAACTAGAATAGACGTCGGCGCTAAAGCTTACTCTATGATATTGGCTAGGTTAAGTGCTATGTGAGTTGCCTATCGTCATTGTATGGAAGAGGTACTGCATTTCTTTCGTCGTTATACTTTCTATAAACTTTTGAGTAAAAATTACGTTTCCTTCATTTCATAATTTGAAGCAGTCCGTAATATATGTTTTTAATCCATGAGTTACTAAATAAATTGTGCGGATTTACTTTTAAATATTTTTTTTTACTAAGGCCAGTATTCGCGTTCTTAGTAAATTCAAGATTATGACTTAAATAATTTTATCAAAAAAAATCGCTACATTTAATAACTTTTTATATCTCTATCAATTTCCGATAAGACCTCTAGAGTAGTTAGAATTAATATTTGGGCTTAAAAAATTACTCAAAAGTTTCGACTTTTATTTCAAATTTCAGTGATCATTGTGTGTTGCCTATCCTCTATCCCTAGCCCCCTGAAACAACTGAAAATTGGATAAACGTTCCAATCCAATGAACTTGTTATGTCATGGATATATAGATGCCGCTAACATTTGCGGCGCGCGAACTATTAATTGTCAAACGCGCGAAGAACATTTTCAAAACTATCTTTCAAATCTCTAAAACATTTGTATTTGCAATTAGGTATTTTTATTTTTTCAAATAACAAAATTGCGATCAATCAAAAAAACATTTTTTGATAATCACCTCATCGATGTTTGAAAGTGAAACATTTATAAAATCCTTACACTATCTACTACATATCGAAGTTGAAAAAAATTTGAAAAATTTTTACGACAAATGTTGTAGTAGGTGTAAGGATTCAAAAATCGATGGAGTGGTTATCAAAAAATGTTTTTGAAATTTTTGATCAAATCGCTATTTGCTATTTGAATAAATAAAAATAACTGAAAATACAAACTTTTTATTTAGTGAGCTGAAAGATAGTTTTGAAAATTGTTTTTTGTTCAATAGTCCTTAAAGCTTTGCTTAAAGTAATGGAGTTATGACGATTTTTCGAAAAACAAATGAAAACCAATAACTTCAAACCGGGGCATTCGAAATTGGAACCTACAAATGTTGTTTGTTTTAACAAAGAGTATTCGTTGTATACTCTTTGGTTTTAATTAATTCTAACAGCCATTTTCGGGTGTAACGACTTAGTATACACCCTGCATATAGTAGGTACACCTAAACAAACATTGGTATAATTCTTAAACAGTTTAGAAGTGAAACAGAATATGTTTTGCTTGGTTCCCTTTTTAATTATAAAAATACAAAATTGAAGCATGCAAATTCATGATCTATTTTGATTTTCAATTCTTCTTATAAGATCTATGTACTTAGATATCATAGTGTATGTAGCATATTGATTTTGATCACAGGTTACAGTTCCAGTTTCTTTTGATGATGGAGATGTGCTTACAATGCCTCTAATATAAAATCGATTTTGATTCCTTTGAAAAGTCAATCCACCTCCGCTGTCACCTTGGCAAATTGATTGTTCTAAAAAAGTTAAGTTTTGGGCGCATTTGTACCAATGAGATAAGTGTTCTTACTTTGAGATAAATAACCGGCACATATTTTGTCGAAAGTTAGAAATTTCCTAAACTCGGGAGGAACTTGCTCCCAACAATCCGAGTACGGCTTGTAGGGTACTTGCAATTCTTTTAATTCCAGAGATGGCTCACTACCAAGGACTGTTTGACCCCAGCCGACAACCTGCAATACAATAAATTACTTTATAATCGGTTGCGATCAATAACCACAATAAGGTAAGCAAATATCAAATAATACATTATCTTATGGTAATTATAGAGAAAAAATCAACCCTGATTTTCTTGCCATCTGCACCATCTCATTTTAGTAAATAAATCTAATTCATAGCAAGAAATAAAGCCATGCTAACAATATTTACATCATCATTGCGACATATAGCGAGTGATAATTTACTTAAGAGAATCAGAAACTTTTCGCAAAAAATGTAGCCAGAATGCCAAAGCCGGTTTTACAATTTTCACTAAAATAATATTTCAATTTGTTCTTTTTAGCGCATTTTCCAAAAGGATACGGTGTAGTACAGCCCAGAGACCAGAACAACGATAGCTTATTTGGATTGGTCACTTCCTTCTTCAGTTATTAGGTACTGATTCTGTGCGGGGAAAATGCGCTTTCGTCGGTCGCGAGTATAACCACGTTTTTAAATTGTTTAATGTAAGCTAGTAGGTCGAATGCAAGAGATGTGTCTGAGTGCCATAGAAATCTGAGTACCTACAGGTTGCGCGGAAAAGAGAATGAAGACAGAGGTTTATGCGCGTTCGAAGTCGCGGGCAAAAACTCAAATAAAAGCAAACAATATGAACCTCCCAAAAATCGTACTGCGAATGCGCAATAGACAACGTCCTTATAGTAGGGGAGCTAGCACGAAATCCACTGAACGAGAATGATCAAAATTTTAACCGATGGAGTTCCATTTTGCCCTATCAGAGTATGCTAAAATCGATCGTCTGCCGCCTCAGGTCATACGACTTAAGGCGCTGCGGGTACTTCTTGTGGTACCAATTCTAAAAGGTTGTTTTTCGAAAAAATAAGTTATACACCTAATGAAAACGTTGATAATAGCTCTTAAAAAAATATTTAAAAAAATCGCGAACATTTGATAACTCCGTAAAAGAACAATTCTTAGTCGGTTTTTCACGAACTTTCTACGGATATAACTAGGTTACCGTTGGATGAATGAAGCTAATTTTTTTTACAGACTAATGATAGGTACAGCCAATGATTATGACAGTGTTTCTTTTTTAAGTTTTTTCTCTAATTATAAGATATCTTATAATGTTAAGATAATAAGACAATCTTATAATTAGAGAAAAAATTTAAAAACGAAACACCGTTAAGTCATTAGTAGTACCTATCATCAGTCTGTAAAAAAAATCAGCTTCATTCGTCCAACCGTAACCTAGTTATATCCGTAGAAAGTTCGTGAAAAACCGACTAAGAATTGTTTTTTTACGGAGTTATCAAATGCGCGCGATTTTTTTAAATATTTTTTTAAGAGCTATTATCAACGTTTTCATTTGGTGTATAACTTATTTTCTCGAAAAACAACCTTTCAGAATTGGTACCGCAAGAAGTACCCGCAGCGCCTTAAGTCGTATGACCTGAGGCGGCAGACGATCGATTTTAGCATACTCTGATAGGGCAAAATGGAACTCCATCGGTTAAAATTTTGATCATTCTCGTTCAGTGGATTTCGTGCTAGCTCCCCTACTATTAGTTGTTGAGCAATTTAATAGACGTTTTTATGAAGATTTCTTTAAATCCAGTGGCTTGTCTTCTTTAGATAGTAGAAGTTCTGTATACTCATCTACGGATGTTAGCGCAATCTTTCTTTTGCCGGAAATTTAAAATTGTGGTGCTAAGTGAATTCACCCTCTAGTAGCACGGTTTTATCGTCTGGTTGAGAGATCCGTCAGGAATACGCCGTTTTTTGTACCCAGCGACTTGCGGCGGCAAATCTCGTCTTCGAGCGTAGGTAATCGTAAAATTCGATGCATTTTTCTTTATTAGAATCGAAACAAGAATTATTACGTTCAAGTGATAAATGGATATGTACTTTATACTTACCACTCCTACATTATTTTCTACGAGTTGCTGCTGTTCAAATTGGTTCCTCCAATCAACACACACAGCTTGAACGTCACTAGAAGCGTTTAATTTCTCTTTTAAAACAATGATGGCAAGATCCGCCTCGTAATTGTTTTCGGTCGCTTTAAATCTTTCAGGAATGTAAATGTGGTCTATCTAAAGGCATTTTTATAACGTTGAAGATGTTAAATGTTTAACCTTCTTACAGCAGATTCTTGAGCTCCTGGATCTCTAGGGTCCCCGTAGATACGATAGTACTTGCCTGCAACTATCTTATAATCTTCAACAGGAAATAATCTTCCACGTTGATCGGCAAAGCAATGGGCAGCTAGAATACAAATCGTTAATGTTAAAGGTTAATTTTCTCGTATTAAAGACCTGAGAGCACTACTCGTCGGCTAATTATTGAACCTCCACATATGTTATCATTGGTAGCGTTGTATACACCCACATGCCATGGATAATCTGATTTTTTTGTAATTGTGCCTCCAATTATATTTGCTACGCCCTTGGCGCGTTTGTCACCACACACTACAAGAATAAAAAAGAAAGATTAGGTAATTTTTTAGAAAATAAAAATATTTTCAAAAGTTTGTTGTGAAACCATCGCTCCATCAATTTTGAGTTATCGCCCAATGAGTCGAGCTGTGGTACTTCGAATATAACTAGTGCATTCAGTAAAAACACAACGAAAGGTTATTTAGCTGTACCAAGACAATTGAAAAATGCATATCAATGATCAACTTTGCATCTTCCCCAGTGCTCACATAAATTCGAGGAGCTCGAACTTCTTATTCTCTCCCCCCCCCCCCCCCAATCTTCACAACCCCAAATTCTATCAGCTCTCCTTTTCGGAACTAACCACTAACCTGGAAGGCATTGTGGAACAGGATAATCCCAACTTCCATCTTTGCAAACAATATCTGGATTAAGAGAGACTTCTGGCATTTCATGAAACGATTCACATTCTGCGACCGCAACAGTATTCTGGACAGGATTATCACAATTATCCAAAATTTTGTCACCATGTTTACATGTAACTTTTGTTGTTGTTGTGGACAGTAATGGGCTGCATGCAACTGAAATAGGATTGCAAGTTGATAGGAATTTAATTTTGTATACTACCATACGTGCACAAGTAGGTGGGGTTGGAAACCATTTTCCATCTATGCAATATGGTAGAACTGCTCTTATACCAAGCGTAGGAGGATAGGGCTTATATTGAGGTTCTTTACATTTCAAGACTAAAGCTTTGTACATTGGGGCATATTCTCCAGGCGTTGCCTTTTCTAGACCAAGTCTATACTCTCCATTGTTCGGATGATTAGGGATTAAACAAGCACCTCTGCAAAATTAACGATAAATCACCTATTTATTTTATCCCTCTCTTGTTCTGGGTCCTCAACAGACTTGCGCCCAATTACAGTGACCCGCATAATGCTTTTTAGAGGTGCCTCTGCAGAAGGTCTTAAGTTGTTCTATACTACTCCGGTATTTACCTTACAAATTAGGAAAACTGCAGGAAAACCTAATTCGGAGTAGCCGGCAGAATGCTCGAAACTGGTCTAAGGTAATTTCCATCTCTGCCACAGATGAAAAATTCACCTAAACCCAGGTTCGAACACCCGACCTCCGGATTTATAACTCAACGCTCTACCATTGAGCCTTGTGAGCATTGTTGAGGGTACGATGTTGTGATACTTACGGTGGTGGTGGTTCTGTTGGTTTAAGCGATGGTGTTGGCTTCTTTGTAATTGGCGTTGGAGTTACAATTGTTGGTGGAGTCACTACTGTTATTGGGCAGTTTCTTTCATCGGATCCGTCAAAGCAATCCTTAACCTTGTTGCACTTTACACTTTTGGCCAAACAGGCTCCATAATCACACCGGAAAAATATGCGCGGATTACATGGCAATTCTGAACATGCTTTCGGTGTCTCATCAGAACTGTCTGGGCAATCAGCTTTGCCATCACACAACTTTTCTTCACTTATACAGTCGTTTGAGTCACACTGAAATTGGCCACTCCTAAAAAATGAGTTTATGGAACACGCCATTCAACACACCTTAATAAGTAGGTAACGTTGCATAGTTATACTATACCTACTTTTTAATCATAGTAAATTCAACATACCCACAGACTGATGCTTTAGTTGTAGCACGAATGCATAATGACGACGTTTCATCAGAATTATCCATACAGTCCTTCTTTCCATCACACATTGCACTCCTCTTTATACAAGCGCCATAAGCACATCTGAATAAATTGGATGTGCATCTATTTGCCACAAATTAATTTTACTGTCATAGAAATTGATATCACTTACTGAAAATTTGCACAGTTGCCTTCGTCAGAACCATCTTGGCAGTCTGGCTTTCCATCGCACTCACTTTCTTCTGAAACGCACCCTCCAGAACTACAGGTAATTTCACTGTCTCTATAAACAAGGTCTTTTCTTGGTTATCTGGTGGGGCACGTATTAAAGGAATCGCACAACGTACCTACCATAAATTCGGTATGAGGAAATAGTTACAACACAAGCATGAAGAAAAAATTTGCGCACCGCGGGAGTAGTGGATTTTTGACGTTCCAGATTCCCATCAACAATTACAAGCTTCTGGGTCATAGAAATCTCTCAATTTTTCGTATTACAACACGCGGCACCACCGCACGTTATAGAAAATCGGGCGAATTTTGTGTTATGTGGTAGTTATGTGTAGAAGCAAATTGTGTAACAACATTTTTAAATGAATTTTTGAAAAGGAAAAAAATTGCTCTTATTTCCCCGTTTTGTCCGGTCGTCTATCTATCTGTTTCATATGTAACCACGAATTTATAAATTAAGATAAGTTCGTGTATGTAACGCAACAAAATCAAACAAACAACTATATCAGAAAAAGTTATTGAATGTATCTAACTATTATACAGGGTGGTGCCTAGCGCGACGCAGCATAGGGATTTCAATGGTAATTTCTTTACAGTCAATTACTAGCTCCCCTAATTACTTTACAGAGAAAAAAATATTGCATCTCTTCATAGTATTACTTACTCATAATTTTCCGTCTTTCAAAACCGTGGAAATGGACAAAATAAAAAGATACATTTTACAATAAATCAGATATGCCTTGGAATTACCTAAAAAACAGCGACAACGTTTCATTATTTACCTTTGACGCATATTAAATTTATCTCGAAATTTATACTTGTTTATAAATTAGTTAATCATAAAATTGTTTATCATGTATTTAACCTCGTATTTAACTAAAGAGAAAAAGGGAATGTTAAAGTTGTTTTAACCCGCCAAGTAACGTCTTTATTTAGTGTGAAGTAGCCAGTAGGTACCCCAATCGGCCGATTCCAAGCTGGACAACAAAGACAGAATTGTGAGCAAGTTTGAAAGAACAGGCACATACTGCAAATGCAATAATAGTTATAAATTCAATGGTGCAATAACGTTCAAAATGTCCGTCAAAATCATCAGGAAACCCGACATAATCCGAATATAAGTTTAAGAACAATTCTTCCTCAAATCAATTTCTTTTTCTTCGATTTAGTACTCTGGTTCCGGAAAATGATAAACAAATAGTATCTGATGCAGATGCAGCATTTCATTCTCTAAAAAAACATTACCCCATAGACGCATTTTATTGCGTCGGTTAGTTGAAACAGAATTAAATATGAAAATTGTTCGATGTCAAACAAGGATAACGATGCGATGCGCTTGCAGTTTGTTAAAAGATTCCAAAGCATCACTGATTTTTAAAAATGTGATTTTTTATTTTGTGGATTTCTATGGTTTTGAAAAACGGATAATTATAACTAATAGTATGAACAGATACAGTATCTTTTTCTCTAAAAAAACGTATTTAGACTTTTGCTCTAAAATAATTAGGGGAGTTAGTAATTGGCTATAAAGAAATTACCATTGAAATCCCTAAGTATGCTGCGTCGCTCTAGGCACAACCCGGTATAGTAGGAGAGCTGGTAAACATTTTTGGGTAGGCATTTGACGCACGCTGAAAACTTGTCTAATACTTCTCCAAGAATACCCAAACGCAGAATTGCAGACCTGGCTGGGAACTGGGGAGTAGCGTAGCGGGGCTAACACTTTGCCAGGCGCCTTCAAAGTTTGAAAAAAAGAATGTACCTACGCTAAAAATCAGGAGTCTGTGGCCCTGCGTCATTGATTGGTGAAACAATTTCAGACATATGATCATGGACATATGTACACATACGCTAAAACCAAGGTTATTTTATTTGAAAGGTTACCTGGTAACTATGTGGGCGGAAGCGGTAGAGACGTAATCCAGAATACATAAATGGACGGTCACCATTGCTTGTAGTCGCGCGGGTGTGCAATGCGATGCAAGCTTTATAGGGGAGTCGATGGTGTCCGTCTGCCCGTGAACACGATAACTGTCAAACGCGTGGACCGATTTGGTTCAAACTTTCCACAGTTGACCTATATGCCACAAGTAATAAGCCTATTGAAAATGGGTCAAATCCAATGACCCCTTGGGGTCACGTCTCTCTGTCTCTGCCAAACGCTTGAACTTATTCGGTTCAAACTTTGCACATCAGTTAAGGTATATACCACATGTAACAAGCCACCGAGGTGCTCTGCCGCTTTCTTAAACGCTCTTTATGGGTTTATTTTTGTGGAAGTTATAGTTTATTTGTTTAAAATGTTGAATTTTGAAGTGCCTGAGGACATAATTAGCTGTATATCCCTGTTTGGTGCAATATAAAGACATTTAGTTTATGAATTGATTGAAAGGTTTGTTTGGGTATTATTGAAGAAGTATTGGACAAGTTTTCAGCGTGCCTCAAATACCTCCAAAAATGTCTACCAGTTCTAGGACTAAGACAATGAAAATATCCCCCTTTTAATGACCTCATAACTTCAGTTTTGAACTGAACCGCGAGCAGAACCCCGTCGCGAGCAAGCTCGAACCGACCATCCATTGGTGGTATTCTGTCGAAACATCAAATGTCTTGGGCTTCGCAATAATGCTCTTGCTCTATTTCGCAACGATCTTGATGCATTAAATAACGGTTTTCGCATGTTTTGCTCAAAATACATATGGTCAACAAAAATGCGTCAAATTCATGTTTTGGGCGTTGAGATAATGCTCCCAGTCTTCTTCCCAACGATCTTGGTGCAAGAATAACGATTTTGACAAGCTTTGATCAAAGTACATGTGGTCGGCCAAAAATGCAACAAATTCATGTCTTGGACATTGAAATAATGCTCTTGGTATATTTCCCAACGATCTTGGTACAAGACTAACCATTTTGACCTGTTTTGATCAAAATACATGTGGTCGCCAAAAGTGCATCTAATATTCATGTCTTGGGCCTTAAGATAACGCGTTTGGTCTTTTTCCCAACGATCTCAGTGCAAGAATAATGATTTTGATATGTTTTTGATAGAAATACATGTGGCCCCAGAAAAAGAATTTAATATCTTTGAATTAAACACACGCGGTTATCAAATGTGCATATGCTGCGGTTAATGAATTTGAAAGCTTGTACTTCAAATTCACGCGAAAAGAATAAGTTTGGGTACATTTTGATCTAAAACTTTTGACCTAGACCACAGAGAAGAGTTATATTGAATTGTTACACATCTAAGAGTCATAGGGAATTATTTATCGAAACTTGTGTGCCTGATGTTGAGCCAGCTTTCTGAAAATTATAGCGCACACGGACGAACGGACGGACGGATAGACAACAATACAAAACTAATAAACAATAATAATAATAATAATCGTCGAATATCCCAATTTTCCCCCAACGGTCTCTAATCACTTTTCCCTACGTAGGTACGTTGTGGATGTCTTTTCATTATTTTATTACAACCCGATGACCACAATTAACAAAGTTCACCAAAACGCTTATAGCGGATATGTTCTTGCACATCGTTCAATAAATACGTACTTGCATTGTGTAGATTGGCGTCTATACCTTGCGAGAGTGTGTATTATAGCTTCTTGCGTCCCACTTGAGTTTCTGTACCCAAATTCTTCACCTGAAACAATTTTGAGTTAATTATTCGACACAATTTTAGTGCTCATGCGTGATTTGATGTTAATAATTACATAACAGAGCTTATATCGTCTTATAAGGAATTGGCCCATTTAGTCAAATTGATTTTTACAATTGTTAAAACGTGAGTTTCTAGAGATGACGTCACTTCTCGTAGGTAGAGTATTCAGTGCTATAAAGCGCTCTAAACCGAGTAAAAACCACTAACCACATACCACAACAGAGCAACTTATTCTGTCCGGTACCTCTTGGATATAATCATATGCTCTTCAACTTGATGAAGTAACTGACCACAATTTGACTTGCTACATTAGAATATCCAAGGGTATAGTACAATATATGAAGAATTGCATAAATAAAGAATAAAAGAAGTAATCAGAAATCCTTCCATACGAATTTTCTTAGAATAAAAACCGTACTCCCAAGTATGGAACATTTACAGCGAGATTTACAGTTTTTCTCCACTTCCATGTTCGCAACTGCCATAGCGACGTTTGTATAATAGTTTATAAATGTGTAAATTTGCATATGCACCGCTCGTATCGTATCGTACAGGCTACAGGTAGGATAAAAGTAGAAGTTCAGAATTGGTGGAAAAGTGATACGGAAGCTGTCAAATCAAAATCAAAGGTCTCCTGCGGGTGACTACGAACCGCCAGTTTGCGTTGTGGTTCTGCTGAGCAACATAAATAGCGAGGAACAAAAAAAAACGTAGAGGGATACTAAGCAGTCACTGTAGGCCATAGGGTATAGGTTAGGAAGAGGGCCACATATAATAACTACAGCATTTAAGCGGACCAAAGAGGATTTATTATAAATAACAATAAATCAGCTGGAGAAAAATTATTGTTTCGATGTCCCGGATTAGTGTGACAAATGAAATTTTCACTGTTCATTACTTATAGCTCGACTTATAGCGTCGAAATTTGGCTCCAATTAGTGGAAGAAATTCGCAAAACGGTCTCAAGCTGTTCCACAGTCATCCTGTTCAGTTTCTTTTTGGGAATATAGATGATTGGTATTAACCGCGGGCCGGACTGAATATTGTCTCCCTATCCGTGGTATAGGTCATCCGCTACGTTTGGCGTCACGAAAATTTCCATCGGGCTGTTAGCGTGAAAATCAGTGGAGCCGAGTCGAGCATTGCTTTTTGGCTAGTTTTGATTGCGGAGGAATCCAAGTAAAAAAGGTTTTTAAAATGTAAAAAGTTAGTGTAGGTAATCACGGCGACAGTTAGAAAACGTGTTAATAAATAAATGGGGGTTTACAGTGAGTTGAATTCCGCAGTTCTAATTTAATAAGCGTGTACCTGAAACCATAAAACATTTTTTTGGACAGTAATAGTTATTTACGTTATAAGTCCGGTAGGTTACTTGTAACAGTACGAGTTAGACATTATGGACGAGGCGACGTCAGGAGCCGAGTCAAGAATGTCTTAAACGAGTACTGTTACAAGTACTACCGGACGTATATCGTAACGTATTTTATTTCATACTGTAAGTCTGTTTTGTATCATTATTTCATTTCAAAGATTACAAAATTTCATCATATTGTAAAAATCGCATTACCTTGTTTCTGTGGCAACGGCCGTTGCTATAGTTTGTAGTTTGTTGACAATTGAATTTTTTTCACTGAAAAATTGACGTTATAAACGTTGTGGGATGTTCCACTGTTCCCGATACAATCCTGTCGAAATCTCATGAAGCAACCGAAAAGTTGGTTCCTAAGAAGTCGGCCGCAAGGTATGAAAAAGAGTACTAAGTGTTTTGCCAATTGAGGAACGAACATGGGGCGAAACAAGTAGAGGAAAAAGTCATGTTGGCATACTTTTTGGACGCAGTAAGTTTTTGAATTGAGATTTTTTTGCCTGGGTTTCGGTGTTAAAGCGTCATGGAGCATGGAAAAGCTCATCGACGGCAGAAAAATACATCGAAGGCTCGGTAGAAGGAAAAGTTAAGATTGCCCGTATGATACAACTGATACAAGGCGGCGAAAATGTCATTGGAGTTCTACAGCAGAAGGAATCAAACATTACTAACTCGACATCCAGTAATAACCCAGGCGTAGTCTTGAGGGCAATACAAATTGTTTCATTACAATCAATGTTAATATTTGAAATAAAGAATTACAGCCAAATTTATGTTGGGGTTTTTAATTAATTGTGTGAAGATGTCAAATTTGATGTATACAAATAACAGTCCGGTAAGTGTTGCTTAGCGACACTTACCGGCTCTGATGCTGTAATAACTCACCTACCGGACTCAAAATGATAGTGTAATCGAACATCTACCGGACAGTATGAAATAAAAGTTTATTTAAAAATAGAGGCTGATTAGCAAAAAAATAATGAACATGTGCGGTTTTAAAGGTTTATTCAAAACGATATGATTGTGGCGGGCTCTGTGACGTAATAAGCCCGACCAATCAGCTCCTAGAACCATTCAGATGACATAACGACTTGGCAATATTGCAGGAGAATGGCATTTATAACTTGCGTCATCCGTCACAGGCACTTGTCACTTTCGTGCTAGATGCAGTTAAACATCCCTCTCAAAACGTCAAATGTGACAAACGTCAGACCCTCGAGTAAGGTTGCCAGCTCACTTCTACGTGATTGGTTGTAGGTTTGTGACGCATTTAGTCTGAAGCGTTTCAAATTCGGACTAAAAACACAGCTTTTCAATAATTTATTTTGGGTTTATTTGACTCGCAAATAAAAATTGAGGACACACGGGTTTTTTTATTTTTAATGTACTTTGTGGACCAGAAATAAAAAATGAAGGCGGGATGACCCCATTAATAAGATACGAAGAATCTCATACAATTTTCAGTAGGGGAATTTTTTGCCACTTCGCTCGTATTCGGAAACCAGCCTTTTGATCCGACTCACATTCAATACCACTGATCCTTGAACTCGTAGAAATCGATTGGCGAAGGTTTGACATCGCTGCCTCTTTTCGTTCTCGATTAGATGAGGAACAGGCGGACAAAACCATCACATAAGGGTAAATTTTTTCTTTCGAAAAATTCTCCTAATAGTGGGCGGATATAAATTTTGTTGTGAGTCAGACAAGGTGAAGAAGAAACTGCAAATATTTTTAAATTATCTAGGCCCGAAGGTGTATATAACAAACGTGGTTTCATTGGCGGCCGTCGACGGCTCCAGCGAAACCGTACCTTTACATGTGTTTTAGATGATATTCATCACATAAAAGGTTCTACTTACGAGGAAATAGACTGCATGCTAATAGATTAGTAGTACCATTGTGTATTGGTAGTACGTTTAAATAGCTGGCCTGTGTGGCACAGTGGCGTGGAAGCTCGAGTGCGGACTAAGGGTTCCTGGTTAGAATCCGGATTCGGGGATAGATATTTTACGAGATATTTTATTTGTAAATGTATAGTGAGTTGGGTTGTTAGAGCAGCCCTTGGTTGAAAAGCCCCGCCGACTTAAAAATAAAGTCCAAAAATTTAAAAAAATAAAATAAATGCGAGTTTTTCAAGAAGTATATTAACTATCTCGGACATGTTGACGAATCTAGTCGGATTCCTACAAAATATTTCTTTAAAATTGTTACATACATTGCTGGTAATGAATATGTAATGGTGTGATCAAAACAATGTGATATTGAAGCTATCAGTAGAAAATGTTATCATTAATAGAAGGTACCATCCTTCAGAGTATGCACAATTTTCATGGCAAAGAATTCAAATCCATTATTTGGGACCATTCATGAACACATGGGTATCTCGTTATATGAGTCGAAGGAATGTCTCAGTTAACACAATTAAACCCCTTCGTCGAGAAATATTTGTGTCTGGTAATCACAGTTAATTGAAGTCAACGGAGTTCGAAATGAGCAAATGGAATTACCACAAGTATACAGCACCATATCATCCCGCTATGCGCTATCATTTCTCCCCATAAGCAAAATTAGGACATATGCATAAGCAGTTTTAATGGTACAATCGCTATAAACATTTTGAAAATAAGTAATACTTTTTTTTCACTACTAGCGTCTGAAGACATGATTATTAACCTTTTTTCCATTTGTAAAGTAGGCTTTCTCAGCAATTGTTCAAAGTGGTTAATAATGTGGACATTATTAACTACTAGTAGTCAATAATGAGAACTGTCACGCTGTCACTTTTAAAAAACACAACCCGAAATTTCGCTCAATAAACGTTTAGACAAGTTCTCTAAAATGAATAATTGCCACCATCCGCCATTTCCAGAGAACTTACATACCTAAAATTAACACATTTTGAAAAAAATTCCCACGAAATTACTCTTTGAAAATATCTCAATGATAGAACAAAATACGGCATGTTTGACTTTTACTTCCACGTACTTGATTGACATGTTAAATTAATAAACAAAAAATTCTGGCCAACCGTTCACATTCTTATCAATATGTATGTTAATTTAGAGGACATCAAGTGCTAGTAGTGAAAAAAATAGTATATATACCACGGTAGAGAAGTCTATTATTGCCTTCGCACCTTACACCCCTCGGCGCAAGCGCCTCGAGATGTAATCTTGGTGCTCAGGCAATAATACTGTACTTCTCTACCTTGATATATAATGTACTATTATTCTTATTCATATAATTAATTAAAAAGTGAACAAGCACGTTTACATATTGTTTTATGCAATTTGTAATTCCGCTTGCTGATTATAAAATTGTTTAACTCGCACTGCAATATAAGTAGAAAAACACGCTTTTTGCCATTATAAGTATCACTAGAATGATTCGTACAGGCACAAATTAACTACATTTAGTTAATCTGTGGTGCAGGGAAAAGCGGAAAACTGTGTTCCGGTTCCGTCGGAAGAAAAGAAATGGTCCAAACTCAGGTCCAAAGTATCTTCAAATACCTTAACGGATCTGATATGACACATACGTATAATGAAACAACTAATTCTACCTGGCTTAAGAGGGCTAACTATAAAAAAGTTTAGATAATTTAAACCACCCAATGACTTAAGCATTGTAAATTCACTTGCTGCCAGAAATGGTGGCTGTTGGATTGTGTACCTCGAGGTGTACCTAGTTTCGACTCACAAAACATGTACTTAGTTAAAATCACCAAATGATAACATTTTCGTCGAATTCTCCACGTCATCACCTAGAATTGTACAGCTTCCAAATTTTGGGGGTTTTAAGGAAAGAAATAAAACCGAAATCATCCGGTACAGCTCAAGAAAATCTGCCCAAAAATCTGTAAAGGTTAGATGGTCATTGAAACATAAGATATAGGATAATTCGGGAATAAGCAAAGGAACTACGCCTTCTGGCTTGTACCAGTTTCACCGTATAAACTTTATTCTGCAGTACTCGAATTATTTATATCATTTTTTTCCGAAAGTTTAACAAAAAGCAACCTACGATACGAGGGCAGCAACTTTATTTATATTTTAAATAAATAATTTCTTCTTATAATCATTAATATTCAACTTCCGATCATTCCTCGGAGTTGTACTCCATTGCATTGTTTTTAATAATATAGCTGTTGGTAACAAGTTTACGAAGTTTTTAAAATATCAAGGTCCGGTTGAACAAATGTATAAAGGCGGCTTAAGCGCCAGTTTAGTTTTACCACAGTGTAATCTATTCTTACACTATGGTTTTACTGGCAGATTTATGAAACTCGACAGGACAATTATTTGTAAACATATACTTACATACAATCAATTTCTCGAAACCAGGGTTAGTTTTATTTTAGGATAAAATAAAATATCGGGAAAAATCCCTACCTATCAAAAAAATACGTCTTTGGCGTGGTGTTACTGGTAACTGTAAAAGGCTATAGTTTGCCGACTGAGCATGTAGAATCAATTTTTTATAATATGAAATTTACTTTTCCCGGTTTACTATCAATCATTGTAATACACATTGCTATTATTCATGCGCGTAATCTTCTAGCCAGACGTGCTAACCCTCCTTGCGAACCGTCGTTCCACGAGATAGGTTATTTGCATGGTGGTACGCTGAAATTAGACTTGTATTGTTACCCTCGAATTGTACCTAGATAACACATTATGTCTACTAGTACCTACTAGCGGTATAACGGAAATTCTTGAAAGATACTGCATTTTTTTATACCAAGGTGCCACTTGGTACAATTGTTTCTTAGAGCCATTTAAACGATTTGACCCGAAGAACACTTGACATTTTCCGTGTGGGTAGATTTTAGAGGGGTTGAGGGTGATTTATTTTTTAAAAAACTAAGTATGGCCTAGAGACGAGATCATCGATTTCGTATGATTTTAACCCGAGGAATCCAATGGTGGCGCCAGAAATGTAATCCGGATACCGGAAGTCCGTGAAAAGCCGCCATTTTTAGAAAATGACAGACTTTTAATCGAATTATATTTTTAAGGCACACCGAGTCGTGTAAGGTGTCTAGACTTATGTTTTTGGGGTCAGGGAATTCATTTATGATAACAAATATAACCTACTGGCATCGGAACTGCATGAGAGGCTTCCTTACTGCACTTTTTGAAGACGTCGCACGCGGTGAAACCCAAGATATTCCAAAGTTGTAATACCTACATAAATTTGTAATATTTTATTTAATAAAAATACATATTAATAAAACATAAGATATATTAAAATATGGGGTAAAAAATGTATAAGCCTATGAAGAATCACCAAGTACATCGCTGACCTCCTCTGAGATTGCGTATCACCACTGAAAAGGAATTCTACATATAAATATTAAAGGTTCGGTAGTAAATTATATCGAAAGTATACAATATTCTTACCCTTTGTTTGAGCAATCTCCCATACACATTTTTGGCATGCAGGGGAACAATGGTAATCCGTGTCGCCGCAGCAAGAGGTGGAGGAGCACATAAGGAGGGCGGCGTATGTCGCTGGCCATATCTGGGGATGTGCAAACCAGGTGATGAGAAGCTCTACAAGTCCAGAAGGATGGGGATGGACTCTTGAAGCCAAAGGCTGGAAGGTTCTGTAGTCCAAGCTGCCACAAGTATGGAAGGCAGTCCGTGCTCTGGACAGGTGTGGCTGCGCGACAGGCTGCGAGACCCTTAGGTGCAGCTGCCGGCGACACGGATTGCCATGTTCCCCTGCATGCCAAAAATATATGGGAAATTGCTCAAACCAAGGGTAAGAATATATTGTATACTTTCGGATATACCTAATTTACTACCGAACCTTTAATATTTATACCGGGTGAATATTCCCAAAACGAACATAGGGAATTAACATGGGAAAAGGGGTTTTTGTAGATAATTGCTCCCCATGTTAATTTAGAGGGTTGATCATGACACCAATCGAAAGAAGATTTTTTCCCTCGTCTAATGATATACGAATTATACTGCATTCATTATAAGAAGGTAGTAGATGGCGCTGTGTTTGAAGATAAACACACACAGGAAAAATATAAAACGGCACCAAATTATTGTAAAGTAGAAATATTCAGCACTGCGAACAGAAATAAATCTTTGACAATAACAACCAATGACACTTCGGCAGTTTAGATGGCAACATAAATTACCACCTTACAAAATTCACCAGTCGTTTTATGTTTCATTGTAATACTGACTCGTGTTTTAACCAATCACAGTGAAGGTCAAAGCCTCCCTATGCTTTCTACCGCTACCTTCTTAAAATGAATACAGTATAGTTCATTTTCAGGTGTATTTCTCACTGTATTATCAAAAACTCGAGAAATCCACTTACCAAAATCATGTTTAGCCATGACTAAGACAAAAAGCAGATTCAAACGTCGAAATCAATATCAGTTTATGACACCTGGCATTATTTTTTGTAAAATGCGGTTCACTGAGGAAAAAGTATTTATAATAAACAACGTTTACAGCGGAAATATTGGTACTCGCTGCGCTCGTGGACTAAACATCTCACTCACCAATAAAACGCCTCATTTATACACTCATTGCATAAATAACTATTATGTTTTGTTAATGTGTATTTTTATTAAATAAAATATTACAAATTTACGTAGGTATTAAAACTTTGGAATATCTTGGGTTTCACCGCGTGCGACGTCTTCAAAAAGTGCAGTAGGGAAGCCTCTCATGCAGTTCCGATGCCAGTAGGTTATTTTTGTTATCATAAATGAATTCTCTGACCCCAAAAACATAATTCTAGACACCTTACACGACCCGGTGTGCCTTAGAAATAAAATTCGATCAAAAGTCATTTTCTAAAAATCGCGACTTTTCACGGACTTCCTGTATCCGGATTACATTTATGGCGCTACCATTGGATTCCTCGGGTTAAAATCATACGGAATCGACACCCAGATCTCGTCTCTAGGCCATATTTAGTTTTAAAAAAAATATTACAATAAATCACCCCCACCCCCTCTAAAATCTACCCACACGGAAAATGTCAAGTGTTCTTCGGGCCAAATCGCCTAAATGGCTCTAAGGAACAGCTGTACCAAGTGGCACCTTGGTATAAGAAAATGCAGTATCTTTTGGTATACCGCTAGTACTATA